TACTTGGGCCACCTAATGGAAAGAACTGACTCATTGCGAAAGACCCTGAGGCTGGGAAAGATTGAAGGCAGGAGGAGAAGGGGACGACAGAGGATGAGATGGTTGGGTGGCATCACCAACTCAATGGATATGAGTTTGAGCAAGCTCTGGAAGTTGGTGATGGACAGGGAGGCCTGGCGTGCTGCAGTCCGTAGGGTCGCAAAGAGTCGGACAGGACTGAGCGACTGAACTGAACTGTACCCAAGGAAGAAATGGTGGGTGTCTCTCTCAGCCACATTATCAGGAGAAGGTAGGTCTGGTGTGTTTGTGGGCCCCGGGAGAGAAGTAGGAAGCTAAGACCAGAAGGCCCAAGCATCCTGAGAGCACAGGAACAGTAGGGAACCTGCCCAAGCTAGGATGTCAGAGTAACACAGAGGGAGGCGACAGCACACGTGCAAGTATGTAGGCCAAAACCTACCAGCTGTTCCACTGGCAATAATCCTCCTTCATTAAGGAGGCTACGTGGGGCAGGACACCACTGGTAAGGATATAAACTGGTGCAACCCTCCAGGAAGGCAGTTTGACATTACCTTTGCATATATGGATGCATATACACTTTCACTCAACAATTCCTTTTCTGTGAACTTATCCAACTCACTAGGCACATGAAATCTTATGCTTATATGATTATTCATTACAGCATTCTTTATACAGCAAAATGTTTGAAACCACCCAAGTGGCTATCAAAACATAGATTAAATAACTCAGGACATATCCACCCAGTGGAATACCTTGTGGTAAACTTTTTTAAAAATGGAAAAATGAGGAGCAGAAAGAATAAGAAAGTGATCCATCTACTTTGTGGCAAGTGTCCAAGATGAAACAAGGTACAAAACACTACATATAATACACCGACCGCTGAACACACAGGGCATCAGGTATCGTGCTGGCCACAGAAATGGGCTGACTGGTGCCCAGTGTTACTGAGACCAAGCTCAGTCTGCTCACCACACCATAGATCAATGAATCTGAGAGATGAGGGGTTGAGGCAAGGGAGAGATTTAATCAGTGAGCTGGCAGACTGAGAAGGTGGCAGGCTAGTGCCTCAAAATAGGCATCTTACTGGGGTCTGGATGTCAGGTTCTTTTATAGATCAGAAGCAATGAGGAACTAAAGTCAAAAGGCAGAATAGAGAGGGAGATGCAATGGGGAAGTAAAGTGAAAGGGTCTTCAGTCTGGCAAACCGTTTCCAAGGGAATGGCCAGTCTTTAGAAGGGGTGTGTTCATCTCTTCTATTCATAGGTGGGCAGGGACAAACTATCTCTCCACAAACTGAACAAAGGCACTTTTGTTTACAGTCCAGCAGAGGGGCGGGGTCCTCCAGGCAAGCCATTGCGTATGATTATAATAAAAGCAACGAAGAGCAAGTCAAAGAAAGAGTTTCTAACACGGAGTCAGAATTGGCGTTCTCCCTGCAACACAGTGCTCCGTGTCTGGGTCCCCAGCATGTTTCCTTCTGGCTGCCCCCAGTCCATGACTGGGCTCAGTCTACATCTGCAGGAGCTAGGACTCCTCTAACTGGCAACTGATTCAACGACTCTCCACTGGCCAGCTCAACACTTTCCAGAGCTGTGCTGTGGTCAGAGACTTGGCCTACTCAGCCCCCCGTTCTTCCTCTTCTCTGCCCCCAGGTGTCAGACCTGCCTCACAGCCTGAAGACTCGCTTGCTGCTCTTGCTGCCTCTCCCTTTCACCCTAACAACTGGGAGAAGACGTATACACTCCTATTGTTTTATGGGCATAAAGAGACTCCAGAAGACTGGCCACTTCTTTGAGGAGTAGTAATGGGGCACACAAGATGAAGGGAAAGGAGAGAGACTATTATTTCCGTGTATCTACACATATACACAAGTACACATGTATAAATATATATGACAGTAATACCTATTCAAAAATTAAATCAAAATGTTACATGGATCTAGTAAAAACAGGGAGAGAGGGCTTCACTGAGCTGGGATGTAGGCAGGAGCCCTGTGGCATTGTGGCACTGTGATTTATAAGATGACACATGTGGTCTGCCTCCTCTTGTCTGGCACAGAGTTCACAAGATCGCTGGAACTCTCTAAGTGGGGAGAACAACCAAGTTGTCTCTTGTTATGTGAATGAGGTGACTTTTGGAAAGCCACTGCTAAAATCTCAAGAGGAAGGGGCCACTTGGGAACCCAGACCTCAGATCCTCACTGGCTCTTTCTGAAGCCTGAATTCTAAAACTCCATCAACTGGAAAAGCCATATGGTATAAACCACTCATTCACTCAGCAGAAAAATAAGCCTTGTTACCCTCCTCCCCAGCCGTTCTCCCCAGAAGCCATACAACAACCCCAAAGCAGACAGAGCACTATGTGGGCTGCTGACTGTCTCCAGGACGCCTGCAGCCCTTTTACTCAAGGCCTCGTGCCATCTGCCTCCCTCCTCAACTGAAGGAGGGGATTGTGGGGCCACACTCTCCTCTGAATTTCTTTAATATAATCTTCTAGAGAGAGTTGGGAAAACAACTTGATCAGTTATATCTGACTTGGTCAGATACACAGGTTTTTAACTTAAAATTTTATTTTCATTTCTACTAAAGCCAATAAAATTTATTTATCAGATGAATACTTACAGAAACACTAAGATAAGTGATTTATTTTGGCAGATATTCATCTTTGGAGCCAAAGAGACCTTGATTTAAATCCTAACTCCCAGTATCTTGGCCTTTCCACCCCAATTCCTTAGATGCAAACTGGGGACAATAGGACTACCTTATATTGTTGACAATAGGATTAAAATGAGATGCCACGCATAGCACATGGCATAGCACTGGATGGCATGTAAGGGGAATTTCAAAATAATAAGGCTTTTTCCTTTCTCTCAGAGCCCTGCAAAAATATGAAAATTAGACCTTTATATTTTCTGGCCAAAGACAATAATCAGTATAAAAAAAAAACCTCATTTTACAGTTGCCCATGTTCCCTTTCCTTTTGCAAAAAGCATCTGCCAGTTACCCCACATAACTGTTGTTACAGCCACAATCATTTGCTACACTGTTGGTGGCAATTGGAGGTTCCTTAAAAAATTAAAAATAGAATTGCTATATGATCCAGCAGTCCCACTCCTAGGCATATATCTGGAAAAGGTGAAAACTCTCATTTAAAAAGAAATATGCACCCTAATCCTCATAGCAGGACTATTTACAAGAGCTAAGACATGGAAGCAACCTAAGTGTCCATCGACAGATGAATGGACACAAAAGATGTGTTACACACACACACACACACACACACACACACACAGAAAGAAAGAATATTATGCAGCCATAAAAAAGAATGAAATAATGTCATTTGCAGCAACATGGGTGGACATAGAGACTGTCATACTAAGTGAACTAAGTTAGAAAGAGCAAGAAATATATCACTTATATGTGGAATCTAAAAAAAAAAATGAAACAAGTGAACTTATTTACAAAATGGAAACAGGCTCACAGACATAGAAAACAAACTTATGGTGACCAAAGAGGAAAGAAAGAAAGGATAAAAGGAGTTTGGGATTAACAGCTATATGTTAACTGTGCATAAAATAAACAATAAAGATCTACTGCATAGCACAGGGAACTATATTCAAGAATCTGACAAAAATATATGTATACACACATATGTATAACTGAATCATTTTGCTGTACACCTGAAACTGACACAACATTTTAAATCAACTATAGTTCAATTTTAAAAATATATATTTAGGAAGGATTTTTTTAAAAGATGAGGGTCCAATAAATTATCTTATTTAAATATTCCAGCATTGTATTTTGCAGAGGCAACAGAGCTTTCTCCAAGGTATCACGGCTTGTTTTTATTTTGTGATCTATTTTGTAACTAATATTCCTACATATACTTTTTAACCTCAGGTCTTCAGCAAGAACTACAAAGAAGAAAAGATTCTGGAGAATCAATCAAGTTTCCTGCCAAGTTCCAGTAACGTTTCTGTCTTAACTGCACACAGGAAAGATGAAACACATTCTCAATCTGTATGAAAACATCAACAGTACAGCAAGAAATAACTCAGACTGTCCTGCTGTGATTCTGCCAGAAGAGATATTTTTCACAGTATCCATTGTCGGAGTTTTGGAGAACCTGATGGTCCTTCTGGCTGTGGCCAAGAATAAGAGTCTTCAGTCACCCATGTACTTTTTCATCTGCAGCTTGGCTATTTCTGATATGCTGGGCAGCCTGTACAAGATTCTGGAAAATGTTCTGATCATGTTCAGAAACATGGGTTACCTCGAGCCTCGAGGCAGTTTTGAAAGCACAGCAGATGATGTGGTGGACTCCCTGTTCATCCTCTCCCTCCTCGGCTCCATCTGCAGCCTGTCTGTGATCGCCGCTGACCGTTACATCACGATCTTCCACGCTCTGCAGTACCACCGCATTGTGACCCGTTGGACATAGAGACTGTCATACTAAGTGAACTAAGTTAGAAAGAGCAAGAAATATATCACTTATATGTGGAATCTAAAAAAAAAAATGAAACAAGTGAACTTATTTACAAAATGGAAACAGGCTCACAGACATAGAAAACAAACTTATGGTGACCAAAGAGGAAAGAAAGAAAGGATAAAAGGAGTTTGAGATTAACAGCTATATGTTAACTGTGCATAAAATAAACAATAAAGATCTACTGCATAGCACAGGGAACTATATTCAAGAATCTGACAAAAATATATGTATACACACATATGTATAACTGAATCATTTTGCTGTACACCTGAAACTGACACAACATTTTAAATCAACTATAGTTCAATTTTAAAAATATATATTTAGGAAGGATTTTTTTAAAAGATGAGGGTCCAATAAATTATCTTATTTAAATATTCCAGCATTGTATTTTGCAGAGGCAACAGAGCTTTCTCCAAGGTATCACGGCTTGTTTTTATTTTGTGATCTATTTTGTAACTAATATTCCTACATATACTTTTTAACCTCAGGTCTTCAGCAAGAACTACAAAGAAGAAAAGATTCTGGAGAATCAATCAAGTTTCCTGCCAAGTTCCAGTAACGTTTCTGTCTTAACTGCACACAGGAAAGATGAAACACATTCTCAATCTGTATGAAAACATCAACAGTACAGCAAGAAATAACTCAGACTGTCCTGCTGTGATTCTGCCAGAAGAGATATTTTTCACAGTATCCATTGTCGGAGTTTTGGAGAACCTGATGGTCCTTCTGGCTGTGGCCAAGAATAAGAGTCTTCAGTCACCCATGTACTTTTTCATCTGCAGCTTGGCTATTTCTGATATGCTGGGCAGCCTGTACAAGATTCTGGAAAATGTTCTGATCATGTTCAGAAACATGGGTTACCTCGAGCCTCGAGGCAGTTTTGAAAGCACAGCAGATGATGTGGTGGACTCCCTGTTCATCCTCTCCCTCCTCGGCTCCATCTGCAGCCTGTCTGTGATCGCCGCTGACCGTTACATCACGATCTTCCACGCTCTGCAGTACCACCGCATTGTGACCCGGCATCGCGCCCTCATCGTCCTGACGGTCCTCTGGGCAGGCTGCACGGGCAGTGGCATCACCATCGTGACCTTCTCCCATCACGTCCCCACGGTGATTGCCTTCACAGCACTGTTCCCGCTGATGCTGGCCTTCATCCTGTGCCTCTACGTGCACATGTTCCTGCTGGCCCGCTCCCACGCCAGGAGGACCTCCTCCCCTCCCAGAGCCAACATGAGAGGGGCCGTCACACTGACTGTCCTGCTCGGAGTCTTCATTTTCTGTTGGGCACCCTTTGTCCTTCATGTCCTCTTGATGACATTCTGCCCGGCTGACCCCTACTGTGCCTGCTATATGTCCCTCTTCCAGGTGAATGGTGTGTTGATCATGTGTAACTCCATCATCGACCCCTTCATATACGCCTTTCGGAGCCCAGAGCTCAGGGTCGCATTCAAAAAGATGGTTATCTGCAACTGGTACCAGTAGAATGATTGGTCCCTGATTTTAGGAGCCACGGGGATATACTGTCAGGGACAGAGCAGCATGACAGACCAACAGCACTAGGACTCCAGCTCTCCTTCCCTAGCGCACATGAGGATAATTCCACCAACTCTTGTCGTAATAGCTCAATTCCACGTGAACAGCCTTGCTATAGGTACAACTTCTATAGCTTAAAGAGGCAAAATAATTACCGAACAGGCCAGAATACAAAGCACATACAGCAATACACATGTGAGAACTCCGAGCTAAGGAAAAGTTTGTTCTTCTATAGATAACTAGCTAGCCTATCATGGGGTGGCCTCTCCTAAGTGCTAGGACAAGCACTCGGGGTATGGACTACAGGGTTTTTGTAAGCCAAAGGTGCCAATAAGTTGCCACACAGGGCCCCTGCCTGCCATCCGCTCTCCTTTCTGCCCACCTGCTTTGCTGTGCACCATCTCCAGTCTTTCTACAAGCAGGCAGGATGCATCTTATAGTCAAATAACCACCTTTGAGTTTCCAATAATAAAGGAAGCTTCTCCGTTAGTCTTCTTGGCTAACTCAGCATCCTACTGGCCTTAAAGTATTTTCCTGGTTAAAACTCCTTATGTTTTAGGAGCATAAATTTCAAAGGAGGAAATAAACATTTAATCCATTTGGTTCCTATGTAGGAATAAATAAAGGCCAGAAGAAAACTGCGGCAAAATGAAGAAAGTATACCCAACCCTTGTGAACCTGTCTGGTGCGTGTGTGCTTGGTCACTCAGTGGCTTCCAACTCTTTGAGACCCCATGGACTGCAGACCACCAGGCTCCTCTGTCTGTGGGAATTCCCAGGCAAGAATACTGGAGGGGGTTGCCATTTCCTCCCCCAGGGGATTTTCCCAACCCAGGGATAGAACCTGCATCTCTTGTGCCTCCTGTATTGGCAGGCAGATTCTTTACCACTGCACCACAGAGGAAGCCTATACCTGTCCAAACATAGAAGTAAACAAAAAAAGTCGACATGTCCCAAAATGCATTTTATGGACTAAGTAGAGAATGGGTGTGTTCACCAGGTTTTTGGACTATGAGGGAAACCAAGACCAAAACAACATTTCAAGACAGAGCTGTTACTGAGACCCAAGCCAGAGACTGGTGCAAAACATTTAACCTCATTCCACAGATGAGTCTGAGGCAGACAGCATCACTGAAGAACTTCCTCCTACTAGAGCCACAAGAAAGATGCCAGATACTGACAAGTGGCATTCACAGCAGGATAAAAGAAACACAAATTGTAGTAAGTTCATCTGTTTTTAAAGACAAAGCTTAAAGAAGAAGCAAATTCTGATCCGAAGTCTTTGCTGAGTCACAGACTAATTTCCAGGGATGAGCGATGAAGAGACAAAGAGGCCAGAGCTGCAGGTACACAGAGCTGAGCAGTTCAAGAGCCAGCAAGAGGGACAGTGTCTTGGGAAGAGGCACTTCTTGGCCCCCAGAGTTTCCCTGAGCTGCAGAGAGGAGAAGCCAGCCACAAACATGACTGCTGGTCAGGTGATGGGTAGAGTATTCGGTGTGGAGAGGGCAGGAGCTTAAGAAGCAGAAGAGAAACACAGAGTTAAAGGGGAGTCTGCTGGGGTAGGTATCCAAAAGGTCAAGAATTCACTTGAAGGCGAAACCCAGTGTCTTCTGCAACTCCCTCCTCCAGAAATCCTTCGGTCCTTCCCCCTCACCAGATAAATGACAATACCCCTTTCTCCTCTTATTTCTCTTGAGAGAACATCCAGGACAAAGGTGAAAAGAAGCAAAGACTGAGGAATGTCTTATACTTTTCTTCATTTTAACAGATAAAATTTCACTAATATGCTTACTTTTTTTAAATTAACTTTTATCAAATTAAAAATGTTCTTTTCCTGCCTATTTTCCTAATAGTATTTTTATCATTTAAAATAGTATAAATAGTATAAAATGATAAATATTGAATTTTATTTAATGCTTTTTCAGATGATCATTTTTTCCTCCTTTAATTTATTAATGTGGTACCTCAGATTAGTAAATTTTTAATAATTGGGCTATCTTTGCAAACTTCAAATGAAGATCAATATGTATTATAGCAACCATGGACATATTTACAAAACTAGAATATGTTGTTTTAGAACAGATTTATTTTGATTTATATTTTTACATACTTGAAATTACCTGTAAAGGTATAATTTAATTTATGTTTCATGAATGACCTTTAGTGAATTTTATGAGAAATGAGAACAGTACCAAAAAATAAAAACTCAAGGCACATGCTTTCCAGGGAATTCCCTGTCAGTCCAGGGGGTTAGGACTGGGTACTTTTACTGCTGGGGCCCAGGTTCAACCCCTGGTCTGGGAATTAAGATCATGCAAGCTGCTTGGTGCAGCAACAACAAAAGGTATGTGCATTCCATAAACATTCTTTTTAAAATAAAGGAAAAGAAATTCTACGTGGGCTATCTAGTTAGCTACTCCTCTATGTATATTTAGTGATCTTTAAAACCTATTTTGTGCAGATCCATATTACTACACTTGCAACAGTTTGTAGCTAGCAATTCTCACAATCAGGGTGACAATATCCCACTGACATTACAACATGATTATTACAGAAACAGCAAACAACTGTTGTTTATTTTACTGACATGTATATTTAAGATTTATTATTTGCAAAGTATTGCTGAGAAACTAATCCAGTTATTCCTCTTTGCAAATCTACATGTATGTTTCTTTATCCATATAAGTGCAGTTTGTACTGTAATTAAAAGTTCTGATAGTATGTTAAGAGACTCTAAATACATGTATATTCTCGTTCAGTAAAAGTACATCTTTCTTCATATCCCCTAATATCTCAGGTTAGACTTTGATCAAGTTCCCCAGAACTCTGTGAAAATAAGGAGGGCAGAGGGCAGGAGGACCTACAAAGATTAAGTAGACTCCAGAACAGTATCTCTTGCTTCCATTGGGATACTAATAAATGTACCTAATTTAATTTCTTAAGAAAGTTTTATGCGAGTAGAAGCTATATGATATCTGAGGTAACAAATCCCATGAGCTTTAAATCTGTTAAAAGTCTTCATTTTATCTGTCCCTATTTAATCCTTTACTGTTTTCTGTAGGTTTTAGCAGTCTGGAGTTTGTTGGATAAGACTATGATGTCATATAGACTTTAACCAGGATGTCTTGCAGCACTCACTGAAGAGTGCTAAAACTCCTCTTGGGGTCCCTTCCTCCTGCCTTTTTGATGATATCCAACCCAGGAGTGCTGGGATCACTGAAAATTGTCCCAATACTAACAAAGCTAAAACACTGATCAAATAAGTTCATAGAATATATCTAGAAGTGGCAAGAACTTCCTTTTACAGATAGAAAACCACTGTTACGAGAGGTGAGAGTGATTCAAAATCCACATCACTGAGTCCCAATCCCAGCTCCATGTGTACTATTTATATAACCTTGAATAAGATATTTAACTTCAGTAAGATTTCATCATTCCACCAGTTATATAAGGACCACAGTACTACCTGTCTCAGAGAATTTTGTGAGAAATAAATTAAAAAATACAAGTTTAGTACTATGCGTGGAGCATGCTAAATGCTTGGTAAAAGTTAGTGTCTACTGTCATTGTCATTGCTATTACTATTATCATCATGGGCCTTGGTAAAGAATCTGCCTGAAATGCAGGAGACACGAGTTCGATCCCTGGGTCGGGAAGATCCCCTGGAGAAGGAAATGGCAACCCACTCCAGTGTTCTTGCCTGGANCCCTAGGTCGGGAAGATCCCCTGGAGAAGGAAATGGCAACCCACTCCAGTGTTCTTGCCTGGAAAACCCCATGGACAGAGGAGCCTGGAGGGCTACAGTCCATGGGGTCACAAAGAGTCAGACACGACTGAGTGACTGAACATACACACACTGTTGTTATTACTCCAGTGTCGGACAAGTGGGCAGAGCCTTCTGACCACAGTGTAGAAATGCTGCTGCTTAACTCAGTGCTTGGGCTTCCCAGGTAGCTCTGCTGGTAAAGAATCCGCCTGCGATGCAGAAGACCCTGGTTCAATTCCTGGGTTGGGAAGCTCCCCTGGCAAAGGGATAGGCTCCCCACTCCAGTATTCTTGGGCTTCCCTGGTGGCTCAGATGGTAGAGCATCCACCCACAATGCAGAGACCTGGGTTCGATCCCTAGGTTGGGAAGATCCCCTGGAGGAGGGCATGGCAACCCACTCCAGTATTTTTTCCTGGAGAGTCCCCAAGGACAGAGGAGCCTAGTGGGCTACACCATGGGGTTGCAAAGAGTCGGACACAACTGAGTGAGTAAGCACAGCACAACTTAATGCTTCCTCTTCTGATTCTCTCACTATAAAGGGCCTGCCCACATCCCCTATTCTCTAATTTCAAATACTTAAATATACTTATAATCAAAAAGGCCATCTCTAAACTCATCATAACAATTAGCAAGAATTGAGGTCTAAAAACCATGCTTTCAGCGTACACATAACCATGGCAAAGGAAAATGTCTAGTTCTAGGAATCCTGTGTGCTTTCCTGGCAACTATTTGCATCCTTCTAAGTATTTCCATGACACATTGTCACTACAGCTCTATATTTACAGATGATTTTGTATGGCTTTCACTAGTTTCTACTCCTAAAAATTGTCCTAGCAGGCACATTGATTAGTGCTTAAAAGTTCAGTTTCTGGAGTCGGAAAGAGCTGGATTCATGCCTGGGGAAAATACTAAAGGTCTTCAAAGCCCTTTCTCTCATCTATAAACTGGGCTATGACTCCACCTCTGTAAGGGTACACCAAGTCTATAGAGTGATCTAGTGAGGGCTTGATGAGATAATGCATTTAAAGCACTTACCATACATGATAACACATTTGTTGATGAGTGGACAGTTAAATGACAGCATGTTATTTTTTGTTATTATTTCTAACATTCAGATAATTAAACAGGAATCTGAGAGTTTAAGCTACAATTCTTAATCTTAGGTTGTGACCAAATTCATTGCAGAGATAAATATTTCTATCTCTGCAATAAATAAATTTAAAATTGTTATTTTTATTAATTTTATTTATTTATAAAAATAAAAAATATTTCAAACATCCTAAGACATATTTAAAATAAAGCCTTGACTTCCACAGGTATGCAGGAGCAGGCTCCTAGAAACCAACCCTTTAGCAGTATAAATTCTGGACACAATTTTAAATACTCAGGGCTCTAAAAAGTGAACAAAAGCAGGGAAGTTTTAGAGAAGAGTTACATCTTAAAGGAAGGGACAGACATAGATGAGTCTCTATTTTTTTAGTTTTGAGATGAAAAGTGAGAGCCTCAGTGCAGTGCAAGGTGATTAAAATTCTCTTATAAAGTCCACCATCTTTCTTGCCTGAGGTACAAGGCCACCAAAGCTGCCAGAAAATGCAGGGAGGTGTCTTGGAGAGGATAAGCCAGAAAAAAGGAGGCATTAATCTTGTGGACAAACATTGCCCAAATTTCTGGCTGACTCCTGAACCAAGCATGTAGACGGCAGATTCAACACAGCTTGCATTAAGGTTTGAAGAACTAAATTGGCATTTGAACTCTCAGCATTATAGGTGATAAAGGGTTTGCAAGTCAATTGCATACTACACAAAAGCATCAAAATTCTTAGAGGCATATAAAAAAAATCAGAGTTTCTACAACATAATACTTAAAATTTCTAGAATTGAATTCAAAATTAATCAATATATATACTAGGAAAGTTTATCCTCACTCAAGGAAAAATTCAACCAACAGAAGCAA